TGGTGTTGATTGAAAATGCTGTCTTTTCAAAATCAGGACAATATGTCAAGTTAGAATCCATACCTGATAACATTGGAAGTCAAGCGATCTATGGTAACATCTCGATTAAACAATCTTTAAATGATACGTTCATTGCTAAAACTATTCAATTTGATGATATTCTTCCTGTTTTACAAAAGAATCACGTACGTAGTGCTATTATGAAAGTTGACATCGAGGGTTCTGAGCATCTTCTTTGTGAGACGGGCCATGCTGTTTTCGAGCAATTCGACATTCCTGTTATTCAAATGGAATGGCAATATGTTCGTCGATACAAAAATCGAGCCGAGATCGTTCTTAATTTCTTCAAAAAACACCATTATATTGCTACTCGAGATATTTGTCTGCAGCTCGATGCAGCACAAGCCTTCCAATCATGGCCTAGTGATGTATATTGGGTGAAAATGAATTCATCAGTATGTACAAGAGACTAAGACAAATGACTGTTACGGCACAAGCGGCACGGTCTGTTACAGGCAACTGTCAGCACATCGAATGATGAGTCCAAAATGCAGAAATTAAGATTTTATCTTTGTCCGCTTTTATTGTTTTTTTGTTCAACGATAACTGTCCAACAATTTTCTATTATCACCGTGTTATTCTATTCTGACAATGTTTCGTTTTTATTGAATGCAATTATTTGATGCAAAGATCTATCTGTTATTGGAAGGCAGAACATCAACTCATTTGTATTTTTTGAAAATTATACTTCATATAAATTGTAGAAAACATCGTGGGTATAAAAGATCGTCTGTGAGAGTTAGCTTGTATGGCAAGATAACCTCATGGAGCCTTGTTCTACTTTCTTATAGAAATGGTGGATATGGGTGCAGGTGTGAGTTTCGGAACGGATGTATATATTCTCTTCTCTCACACTCACACCCCGTGTCCTCTCATTTTCGAACATAAAATCGAAATTAAAAATCTGTTAAATTCAATTTCAGTTGTTCTTTAAATTTAAATTATTCAAATTTCCAATGATCTTAGGTTTGAAATTTTCGGTTTTCAAATTTCAAAAAAACTTACTGATAACAATTTTAAAACAAATTAAAATTTCAGTATATTTTTAAACTTGTTGAAATTTATAGAGTTCGCTAGATATTGAGTTTCACTATTTTTATTTAATGAGCTGTAATTTGTAGAGTACGCTAAAATATAGTAGTGCTTTTTGTATTCTTAATTGACTGCCATTTATAGAGTTCGTCAGACATAATTGTTACTATGAGTGTCATCAGCTGTTTTTGATTTTGAGCAGACCATATAATTATGATAGTAAAATGGAATCAAACATTGAATGAAGATCATTGATTGGGGTGTAAAAGCATTTACAGCCCATGTAAAAATTTTTGCTAATTTAACGAAACTTTGTGACGTGAAAATTCGTTAAAAATTTAACGATTTAACGATTAAAAATGTTACAATTTTGATCATGAAAACGCGTTAAAAGTGCGCAAAATTAACGCGTTTAAACGCGTTTTCAAATTCTAACGATCTTTTTTTCGTTAAATCAGTACATTTTTAATGACTCTTCACACGTGAATTTATCGAAAACGCGTTAAATACGAAAGCTGATTAATATGTTACCCCTCAGAATTTTTCATACATTATTATTTACTGCAAGTATGATGAACGTCCTTCAATAATCCGTATCTTGCTTAGTTTCACTCGCCTGAAGAGAAAATTCCAGGTAATCAATTCAATATTGGTTGTACTTTTTAATAAGATGCTTCAGAAAGCATTGTTATCACTATAAATATTTCGTAATAGATAGCAAAACCAACGAGGAAGTACAATATTTTTTTTTATTTTGTCGATATCTCGAAAGTGAAACTATTTATGGCTTCACTTGCTACAATTTTGCATTCTTGTAGGTACTAGAAATGTATTCCATAGTTGACAGAAATGATAAGACTATTACTAGTGTAAAATCTGGGATATCGACAAAGTAACAAAAAATATTGTACTCTTTGATTTGTTTCGCTATCAATTACGAAATAATTTTAGTGATAATAATGTTATCTAAGCATCTTATGAGAAAGTACATCCACTATTGAATTGATTAGCTGGATTTTTCTCCTCAGACGAGTAAAACTTAGCAAGATATGGATCATTGAAGAAACTTCAGCATATTTGCGGTGAATCACAATGTATGAAAAATCCTGAGAAGTAATATATTCATTAGCTTGAACTATGGAAAGACAGATTACATGAACTAATATAATTTAATTGCCCCTTTCGTCTTAACTTAGTTTATCAGCTTACGTATTTAACAGAGATGAACCAGTCATAGTTTTCATAGTAGATCTAGATTCTATAAGCGAAAAACTCAACTCAGCTCAACTCAACAGCGTAAAAGAGAAATTTATATCAATACACATTTATATAGGTGGCATGTAGCTCGAGTGAGAAAGTTAAAATATCACAGGTGTGAAAACGAATGCAGCATTTAACGATATATAATGAGTTAGCTACCATTAAAATGACAATCACGCGCGAAAAAACGTGAAAAATCTAACGCGTTAAAACGAATTTTCCAAATCTAACAAAAATTCATGAAAATTTTCTTCGTGAAACTTCATTAATTTGCCTATTAAGGCAACTTTTGACCTTAACTGGAGAAATTATTTCGCTAAACTTTTTTTTATCATGCGGAGCAGAAATGATGATGATGTAGGAAGTATAGAATTACATTTCTTTGATATAAAACCCGTAGTAAATTTTAAAGAAGAACTGAAAGAGGATTATCTTTGTCTAGGATTAATTCAAGTAGTTTTGCTAGCGCTTAATACAAAGTAGAGATTTCTCTAAAGGAGTGCGGCCTAATCTGATAAAAAGCTTTTGATATCTGGACTGATATAGTCCACAGACACACTTGATATTTCGTAAATATAAGCCTTTCAAGATGATTTTT